CATATCACTCGGTTTGTAACCCTTTTTCAAAGGACCAATATTGTAATACCTCTAATTTTAAAATGATTGTCTTGTGATTTATTTAATTATTTTATTACATTTTTAATTGATTATTTGATTATGTGGCTAATTATTTATTTATTTAATTGAATTAATTATTTAATTTAATTGTGTGCTTAAATGGTGTGTTTTAATTAATTTGTTGGTATGATTAATTGCTTGCTTAAATGATGTGTATTTATTTGTAATTAATTGTTATGATTAAATGATTTAATTATTTTATTTATTTTATGTTTTAAGGAGTTGGATTTGGATAGTAGTAAATAGTAGACCAACCATTGGAGTCACATGGACTACTTGAATAGGAGGCTTAATTGGTATGGATAATTACCCATGAATAGTTGTGTATGTGTCTGTGTGTGTGTGTGTGTGTATATATATATATATATATATATATATATATATATATATATATATATATATATAGGTATATATGTATATATGTATATAAGGATAGTTTTATTATTATTATTATTATTATTATTATTAATAGTAATAGTATTAATAATACTGGATAGTCAATGTGTATATATATAGATAGATGTATTATTTAACTATATATATATATATATATATATATATATATATATATATATATATATATATATATATGTATATCGATCGCGTTAGGCAGAGATTTGTATATATGTATAAAGTTTTTTTTATTTATTTTTTATTTTTTTTCTATTCTTTTATTCTTTTCTTATTCTTTAAGGCATTTAGAATTGGGAAGGGATTATGATTTAGTGTATATACATATATGTATATTAGTCCGCATAAGGGTTACAAAACCTATTACGCAGACAAGAGGGGAGGTGAGAAATAAAGAGTTTTAGAACGAAAATGTAAGAGTGAAGAAGAAAGGGAGTTGGCCAAGGAGGAGGCCGCAGCAAGGAATGAGAGTGGGGCTTGCTCGTAGACTAGATCAGGAGAAGCAGAGAGTCTTGACGGCAACCAAGGTCACCGAAAAAGCAAGAAAGAAGGAGGTTAAGGTTTTCAATCCAAAACCTTAAGGCAAGTTCTTCTTCTATCTCTTCTCCTTGGATTACCTGTTCTCTACATGCCTACGATAGTTCCAGGATAAATAAAGATTAAAATTGAATGTATATGCATGCTTAATCCGATTAGAATAGAGGCTTTTTGTGAATATATGTTTATGTTCTTGATTTGTATGTTCTTGTGATTTGATGCATGATATGGTATTTAAACTTGATCTTTACAAGTTTAAACATCTAAAATAAATAATTAAGGACGTATAGGACTTAGACCAAAGTTTAGGACCATTAACAATGGTGTTTTGAGGAGTTGCAAAGGTTGGAGAAACGAAGAAGACGACTTGTAACAGGAACAAGAAGACTCAGTTTCAACTGAGCCGACTTAGTTGCTAATCGAGCCGACTCAATTGGTACTGAGTCGACTGAATTTATGAACCGATTCGATTCCTTTGAGAATGAGCTGACTCAGTTAGGAATCGAGTCGACTCCTGTGAAGGAGCTGACTAAGTTGGGCTGCGACCTAGGTGCGACGTTTTATTTACCTAGAAAGTGTTTTAACCTATTTCACTTAAATTTTAAGGGTTAATTGGACTTGGGAAATTCTCAGAATGCATAATATACATTTATATGCTAAGGAATTGGACAATATGAGATTTTAAATAACTTGTATGTTGTTTAATGGATGTTTTGATGTACTTAAATTGTTTTAACAATTGAAATAAGTGCTTAAATGATTTTAATCATGACTAGGAGGATTTATATAATTTAATTGAGATATAGGTTAATTACTTGTGGTGTAAGTTAACTGCATGTTATTTAAATTATCATCATTGCTTAAATATTTGCAATAAATATCTATATGATTAATACCATGCTATTTCTGGATTATTTGATGTATAAATATATGTGTTGCATCAATTGTTGGATTATGGATTAAATGCACCATTGTCAAGATGTGGGGGTATATAATGGATGGATTAACTATTAAGTTAAGTTCCATCTATTCGTGTCACGCTACGGAACCAGTTGGATGACATACCATTGAAAGATTATGGCGGATAGTTTACTTTTATGTTCTGGATAGGATGGATTTATATATATATATGGAAATGTGCCATGATATGAGTTTAAGTATCAGGATCAGTGGTTAGGGAGCGTATATTATCTGAGACGCATAACTGGATATAGTGGATAGTTGTGTGCCCTGGTATATCATGGTACTCATACCCACTATATGCGTGTTCGGCATGTTACATACTATTCAGGTTGAGACCGCCTTGTAGTCCTGTGAGAGTCCTTTAGTGTGTGTGTGTGTGTGTGTGTGTGTGTGTGTATATATATATATATATATATATATATATATATATATATATATATATATATATATCGACTATGTAGTTATTGTTGAGTTGACTAGGATGTATACGTATATCGGGTCTCTGTTTGGGATATAGTATAGTAGAATTTGGTCTTGGCCTGACGCACTATTATTTTTCAAGTGTTCGTCAGTTCCAGACTTAAAAATTGTTCATGCTGAGCAGAGACAATCTACTTCACTCTTCCGATTCTACTTAGGATTCTTCTTTATATGATTATCTTTAGATTTGATTTTATTTCAGTTATAATTTCTAGTTGGGATTTTTAGGGGTCCACGTTATGGATTCCTGAGTTATAATCTAGATGGTTATTGGTATCAGAGGATTTAGATTATTATTGGAAGATTATTTTATGAAGAATTATTTATTTAGTTTCTTTTCAGGTTTATTATTTATTCTTATTTATTTTTTGTATTCCATGTTCATTTATTACCTAATTGTTTTAGTATCCCTCGGTGTCATGCGCGGACTTGATTGACCCGTGTTCTGGAATTGAGAGGTATCACAATTAATGTTAAACACAGCCGGTTTATACCGATATTTGCCCGAATCCATTGAACCGTGACCGCAATCGTTACCGTAATCGATACAGTAACTGCGAACCATAATCAGTAAATTAAGAGACTATATAAAAAATATCAGAAGAGTTGTTATAACAAAATAGAACTTGTTGCATGTAATCGACCCAGGTTTTTTTTTTTTTTTTTCGCGCGTACATTTTACATATGTGTAACACATAAGGGGTTGAGTGCCAACTCCAACTCCATATTTTAGAACTAGGATTCTATCCTGATGTGGTTTGAATCCATGTCATATACCAAGGCAACACAAATATTTTAATAAAGTAAAATTAATATATATGTTTGATTTGGATAAGATTTAAAGTTAAATCTGATCTATTTTATGCCCATTCATAGTCTAATCTAGACGCGTATAGTGAAAATTTTCAATGAATATATCCCTATTTTATAGTTCTGATTCAAAATCTAAAATCAAATTCATTAAAATAAATTTTGTTGGATGCGCCAGAAGCTTTGATACTAATTGTTGAGTTTTGGACCGGAAGATTGGACGGTGATTTTTGTATCAATTTGGCTTAAATTTTAGATGGTGATTCATGGGGACGATCTCTACACGTACACCTACCGGTTCATATATTTCATTTAGCCTTCTATGTTTATCCACTTTCTTAATTGTCTTTTGCCCACATGGTAAGATTTAAACCTTTCTTATTGAATTTATTAATATTGAAATCCATCTACTTTGGTGAGTATATTATTGTGGTGATCCAAGGATAATTTATTCTTCATAATTGTAAACCTTTAGTTGTGTCTAAAGAAAAAACTTGTATACAAGGTTATTGTTGCGTATTATTTGTTGTGTCAATTTTTCCAACTAGTGGTATTAGAGCCAAAATTAGTATTGGGAAGTTCGCCTTTAATTATTTGAAGATCTGGAAAACACAAAAGTCTCAAGAGGTCGTAAAGAATTTCAGTTGCAGGTGGAGTCAATCAATCAATTTGTTTAATCATGATGGTCAAAAAATTGTGATGGGTTACATGCCATGGAGTTCAAGTAATCAAGGTGAAGTCTTAGGATTTAAATGACCGAGTAACGCATAGCAGGGGACAATCCGAGTTTTGTAGGAGGATTGACAAGATTGAAGCAGTAGGGATTAAAGAATTTTTCATATTAATGACATGGAAAGCCATGGCTGGCTTCATAAAATTTGAGGCAAGGTGAAGATGGATTGGCTTCATAGAAATTGAGACAAGGTGAAGATTGTTAGGAATATGTCTCAAATTTCTATTGTAATTAAGTTTCTATTTTAGAGTTATATTATATTAGGTAATTACTTGTTAGATGATGTGTTTGAGTTCTATAAATAGATACCTAGCTTGAGGGTGATACAGTTTTGTGAACACTAATAACGAAGGAGTCTCGTGAAGTGGTACACAGTAAAACTTTAAAATAAAAGCCTTATTACAATAAAAATTTGAGACACAATATAACAGAGTTCACATTGAGCTATCCAAACGTCACATTTAACCTGTGATAGATCATAAAGATGCATATCACCACCAAAAGAATAAAAAAATAAAATTTAATCATAACCAAAAATTTCGTTTTTCCTTTTTAATTGTCATCTTGCCAGTTGCCACCACTCGTGATTGCTGCTAAATAAATAAATTAATGGCATATACAAATTAAAAAACTGTTTGAATAGGTAGATTAATTTTGATTGCCACAAAAAATTTCATCCTAAAAATAAGAAGTTGTTAGCACTGATACTTTAATATATCAAATGAAAAAACCAAGCAACCTTGTATGATATCCACCGTACCGCATTTGGATGCAAACTGGTTTTCTGCTAAAATGGATGCACTTCACCTAACATTATCCTTCCAATCTCTCTTTAAAGCCTCTTAATCTCTCCTTCTGTTTTCCATCTCCAACTCAATACACCATTCAAGCCCACTCCTCCATTCAATATATTATTTAATCTACCTCTATATATCGATTTCTTATAAGCAACCCTTCCAGCTAGGCCACACCAAGAACCAAGAAAATGATGAACCCAATTCTCTTCTTTCTCTCACTTACACTACTATTCCACTCCCATTTCAGCACAACCCTAGCTCAGTCCCCTGCAGCATCCCCGACAGTGCTCCCAGTGCCGACTCCAGCGTCCCCGGTAGTAGCAACGCCTCCAGCGTCCCCAGTGGTAGCAGCGCCTCCAGCATCCCCGGTGGTAGCAGCAACCCCAGTACCGAGTACTGCTCCCCTCACGCCAGGGCCCCCCGTACCTGCTGGTCGCCCCAACATCATGAAAATCCTCGAAAAGGATGGCCGCTTTACGCTGTTTCTCCGGCTTCTGAAAAGTACCAGTGTGGGTTCCCAGATCAATGCCCAGCTCAAAGACTCAAACAATGGCCTAACTGTATTTGCACCCACCGATGCTGCGTTTTCGAGCCTAAAACAGGGCACTCTCAACTCTCTCACTGATGAACAGCAGATCCAGCTATTGCAGTTTCATATATTGCCTACCTTTATCACCCCAGCACAGTTTCAAACTGCCACCAACCCATTGCGGACACAAGCTGGAGGCAGCGATCCCGGTGAGTTCCCGCTTAACGTGACGAGCTCCGGTAACATAGTGAAAGTGTCCACCGGCGTTATGAACACTCCAATATCTGGCTCAATCTATACGGCCAACCGTCTTGCTGTGTATCAGGTGGATAGTGTGCTTCTTCCTTGGAGCATTTTTGGTACTCCGGTACCAAAAGTGGCACCGGCACCGGCAAAAGCTAAAGCACCGGCACTGGCACTGGCCCCGGCACTGCCGGCGGAGAAGAAGACACCCGCCACGAAAAGTCCTCCAAGCTCCACTGTTAATGCCTCTGGTACAGTTCGCCTTATCACCATGCATGGAGTACTGGTGGCGACTATAGGAGTTGCTGTTGTTGCATCATTTCTTGTGGGACAATAGACGGTGATGATTGTGCCAGCTGGACGGTCATACTGGGAGTGGGTTCTGAGTCCATTTGTTTGTGCCTCCGAATAATACGCCCAAGTCTAAAGATTGAACTATGATGTTCAATTTTGATTTTTTATTTTTAATTTCCTTTTGCTCTGTGTTTCTGTTGTTCTTTTCAAACTTTCACTGACTGCTGCTATGCCATTGATTTGAGCAATTTCAATTCATTGTTGGTTGCTGAGTTTTTTTCTTTTTCTTAAAATTTATAAATCCTCTTTTTTCTATATCCCTTCAAGTTATTAGCATACTAAAATTGAGACGGTGTGATTCAACTATTTGCTTAAATTTTGTATAATGTCTATCATGGACAATGAGGTAGAGAAAGTGTTTCAAAATTGAAAGTCAACTCGTGCCCGAAAATAAACAATGTGAAGATGGACACGTATTAGGGTGAGTAGGATTGCTAGGTTTTCAATATTGTACACACCGAACATTTATAGTGAATTGTCTAACCGAATAACTTTTAATTAGCTATTTATACCAAATACAATTAGGTGGAGGGCTCCACTTCCTCATTTATTGCATAATTGGTCAATTAAAAGAGTATGCATAGCAATTTACTACAACTATTCGTTACTAGAATCATTTCCTTTTATGAATTGTTTCAGTGTAACAAACAAAAATTGATGAATTAATTGTTCAATAGGATCGCGGAGTAATAGAAAAAATTGATAGTGTTTTGACAAATTGATTTCATTTTTTATTTTTTTTATTATTATTTTTTATTTTTTGCACATTGAACATTTATAATTTTTTTTTTTTGGGTAAAAGGTAAGCTTTATAAAGAAGAAAAATAGAATCTACGAGTAAGAGCACTTGGAGCAAACATACAAGCAGCTCACAAGGCAGAACAAACATACAATTTAGTCAAGGCCAAGGCCAAGCTCCATAAACACAAAACAATAAGTATCCTCAATCCTATCTTTTAACTCCAGTACTTAAGCAAATGAGTTTGCACACCAAGTATGATTTCCTATAAAGACACATCCCTGCATGAAAAGCTGCAGCAAATCCTCTTGCTCACCCAATAATCTGAGCTTAACACCTTGTTTCAGCTTCAATGATGAAAGCTTTGCTCGGATACAACTCTTGATAATGCAAATGATATGTTGTGGTGATGCAGATCTATTCCTAAACGCCTTGGCATTTCTTTCAAGCCAAATGAAGTAAACTGTCACATTGAAAAACAACTTGTGGATATTGAACTGTCTTGGTCTCCATGCACTAGAGCACCTAGAAATTAATTCTCCTTAACTTCTTGGTTCCACATAGAATCCTGCAACATGCTGAATAAACCTCCAAATATGAGCACTGAAACTGCAATTGAAGAAGAGACGGTCCAATGACTCTGCATCAGAGAGGCAAAGATAACAAGCATTGGTGTAGTGCTTCTTCCTCATTGGCTTTGTATCCATAGTGAATAATCTGCCCCTACATGTAAGCCATGTAACACAACTATGCTTTGGTATGTTAATCTTATACCAAAGCAAGTGTGGCCAATCGAATAAAATTGATGGTGGAGATAGATACTTGATTGTATGTGAGAGGGAAAACTGCTTAGTAGGACATGGTAACCAAACAATCTCATCATTCTCTGAAGAAAGTAAGGTGAACTCATTGGATTGAAAGAATTGTAGATACTATAAAGCAAGTGGAACCACCCACTGATTAGTGAAAATTAGGCTATCAACTTTAATACTTGAATTAAGTTGAAAAATTTCCATATCAGTTAGGTAAAACTGATCATAAAATGGACCATTTGGAAGCCAGTAATCCAACCAAAAACTAGTGCCAGTGCCATTCCCAATTCTGTGTTTAATGAGCCCCCTTGCCATCCCCCTCAGCTTCAGTAATCTTTTCCAAAACCCTGAACTTAAAGCAGTAGGTTTAACATTCCAAATTGACTTGGTCTTGATTAGATATCTCCTAGTCCAGGCAACCCAAAGAGAATCCTTTCCTGAGCATAATTTCCTAATGTGTTTGAGATTAGAAATTAAGTTAACCATCCCAATATCTGGAAATCCCAAACCCCCTTGATTTCTTGACCTGTAAACAACACTCCAAGCCACTTTTGCACCCCTTTTCTTTAACTCAATACTAAACCAGTAAAATGAATTGATAATTTGACTGATCTACTCAATAACCCTTTTTGGTAATACAAAGGCTTGGGACCAAAAAGAATGCATTGAGCTCAACACTGATTTTATAAGCACAACTCTTCCAGCATAGGATAGGAATCTAGATGTCCACATGGATATTCTTGCGGTAATTCTTTGAACTAGTGTCTGGCAATCTCTAGCATTAATAGATGAGAGAGAAAGAGGGAGTCCAAGATAAGTAACTGGCAATGAGCCAGCTTCACATTGCAGTGAGGAAAGAATTGAGGCCTTTACTTGGTTGCTAACCCCTGTGAAGAAGATTTGGCTTTTAGTGCAGTTGATTGACAATCCTGAGAGAAGGAAGAATGTATCCAAGGCTGTAAAAATGGTCTGAACTGAACCTAAATCTTGCTTCATAACAGAATAATAAGATATCATTTGTAAACATTAAATGAGTAAGGGACAGCTTGCTGTATCTCCAATGGTAGATAAAACTGGGGTTTTGTTGAATGGCATTGTTAATGGATAATGAAAGGGCATCCATAGCAAGTACAAACAGCAGTGGTGATAAGGGATCACCCTATCTAAGATCCCTTTTCCCTTTGAAAAAACCAAACATTTCACCATTCAATGAAATTGAGTAAGATGGAGTTGTTATACATTATGAGATCCATTGAATAAACACATCTTGTGATACCCCCCTAATTTTAAAAGGATAGTCTCGATTTTTTTTAAAAAAAATTATTTTAATTGCATTTTAATTATTTATTTGATTTATTGGCTAATTGTTTAGTTGTTTAATTGATTTAATTATTTATGTATTAATTGAATTATTTGTTTAAATTAAATTGTGTGCTGAAACAAGTTTTAGATTTATTGGTTTAAATTAAATTGTGTGTGATGATGTGTATTTGTTTAGGAATTTAATTGTTTTATTTTTATTTATTTTTATTTTTATATTTTTAAGGAATTGGATATGGATAGTAGTAATGGACCAACCAATTGGGCTCCATAGACTACTTGAATAAGGGGTTTAATGGGTACGGATAATTACCCATGGATAATTATATATGTATATATATATATATATATATATATATATATATATATATATATATATAAAGAAAGTTCTTTAGTAATAATCTGGTATGTATATTTATATGTTATATATGAAAAGGATTACACATAGATTGTACGTAAAATATATTTTAGTTACCTTTTTAGTATTTAAATTTTATTTTATTTTTATTATTAGTTTGATTTGGATTGGAAAAAGGATTAGAGTTATTTTATTTACTTATAAATATATAGTTATAGGTTAGTAAAAAAGGGTTAGAAAATAATCAAAAATATATTTTAGAGAGAGAAAGAAGGAAGACGAAGTAAGAGAAAAAGAAAGAAGGAGGTTAGGATTTTATATCAAATCCCTAAAGGCAAGTTTTAATTCTTCTTTTCTCCTTTGATTCATACCCTATGCATGCTCAATTAATTATAGGTTCTTTGAATAAATTAAATTGGATCAAATTACATGCTTTAATTTGAAATTTTCAGTTCATGTTTTAATAATGGGTTTTAGTATTCTCTACTGCCAAACTAGGCATTGTTGGTTGCCTAAGTTTTTATTATTTTTATTTTATTTTACATGAATTATGTTAGTATGAATCAGTTTGTGCATAGGCAGATGAAATCAAAATTTGTTCATAAAAGTGTGCGCGCCGAACGAGGTGCACCACTTATAGCACAAACTGTTTTGTGTATATTTGTGAATTCAGAATGTGTGATTGATTCACTTTACGGAATATATATATATATATATATATATATATATATATATATATAAAGTTCCTAAAGCAAATTTGTGCTGTGAGAAAAAATTAGAGATTTGGATTTTTTTTTTTTTAAGTTGGCATGCCGAACGAGGTGGTCAATTGTTTACTTTATAGAATATATATATATATAAAACAAAGGTTCCTAGAATAAGTTTGTGCTATGTAGGGAATTAGAGTTTTGTTCCATTATATGTGGGGGCACACTGAACGAGGAAAGAGAAAAAACTAAAATAAATGTTTTATTTTTATTTTTATTTTTATTTGGATTGAATGGAGTATTTAAGTAAGCATTTTTTAAAATTATTCTTCATGTGTTTTTTTTATTATTTTGTTTTGATTAGAAGATTTTTGCATTAAATATTTTTTAATATTAATCTATTTAATGTTAGAATATTAAATTAATATTTGTTAGTTTTGATTGATGGATTTGAATTAAATATTTATTTAATTTAAATAGATTCATTAAGAATTGGTATGTGTGATTTAAGTTTACATGCTAAGTATGGAATTTAATTAATTTTAAAAGGATAAATTAATTAGATATTGTTGGATTAAATTATTTTAGTCAATTGCTCAGGTTTAAATTAATTTAATCAGAACATGGAGATATACAATTTAGTTGAGATGCGTTTTAATTTCTTGTGATGTAAATTAAATGCATGCTACTTAAAATTGATATTTTTGCTTAAGTAAATGCAAATGATGGGTATATGATTTATATCATGTTTATTTGCATTATTATATGTAAATATTATTTACATTATCCTTGGATTAGAAACTTTTATTTGGTTATGATATGTATTAATGCACTATTATGGGATGGGGGCATATTAAGGACGGATTAACTTAAGAGTTAAATCCTACTTATTGTTAATAAGGGAACGGATTAACCATAGTGTTAAATCCTACTTATTCGTGTCAGGTCAATGGAACAGTTGGATGACATATTATTAAAATAATAATTGGATAGTTTATTTTGATGGTTGGATAGAACAGATTTTACATATATAATTATACGCCATGA